GTGTCAGACCAGAGCACACAGGAGCAAATTAAAGAGGAAGGAGAGAGAAAGAGAGAGTGGAACACAACCTGGCCCACCAAGCCCTAAGGACGATATTCCAGCTCCCAGCAGCCAATGCACAGACAGGACCATAGGGCTGGCCCCAGCAAGAGACAGGAAGTCCCTAACTGAAACATAGCATTACGGGGGACAACACTGGAGACACAGTATGGGAATTATGCCCGATCTGACCCACCACACAAGGGTGAAACACTAAGGGCTTGCAACAGAGCAGCAAGGGGAGCAAAGCAATGAAGTGTCGGAGAATCCCAAAAATAGACTTTGGGGACAGGGGGTGGTATCCAATGAGACTTGACCGGAAAACACTCATAAAGGTCAACAAACAGACCTGGAACTATTTATATGCTTTCCTTTTTTGTTGTTGTTGTTTTTTTGGTCTTTTTATTGTTCTGTTTTGTTTTTGTGTTTATTATTGTTTTTGCATGTCTATCTAGAAACGATAGAAAGGATAAACAATCCAGTGGTGAAAACAAGGGGACAGACGGTTCCAGTGGGACGTGGGAGAGGGGGAGGTGAGGGAAAGAAAGGGAGGAGCTAAGAAACCCATGCCCCAGGGAAAAACCAGTGACTGAAATCAATAGCAAGGAGGGCACAGGATGTCCAGTGGGGCCTGATCAAGTGCAATACAGCCAAGAGGAATTAATGAAAGCCGAATGAAGGTCAAACATGATAGTGGGACAAGAGGAAAGTAAAAGGAAACACAGGAAAGAACTAGGAGGCAAAGGACATGTGTAGAAGTCTAAATACAGGCATGTACATATGTAAATATATTTACATATGATAGGGAAATAGACCTATGTACATGTATTTCTATGTTTAAGTATTAAGGTAGCAGGCGGAGAGTGCGTCTCTACTGAAGTACTCCCTCAATGCAAGAACACTTTGTTCTAATAATCCGGCATTCTGTGATGCTCACTTTCTCAACACAATTGCCGAAGACAAAATGGGTGCATAAGCAAATGTGGTGAAGAAAGCTGACGGTGCCTGGCTATCCAAAGATATAGTGTCTGGGGTCTTAAAGGCTTGAAGATAAACAAGCAGCCATCTAATTGAGAAGCAACAAAGCCCACATGGAAGAAGCACATCAGCCTGTGTGGTCATGAGGTGTCGATAGGATCAGGTATCAGGCATCAAAGACCCAGAACAAACAATCATATCGATGTGAATGAAAGGGAGTGTGGAGTGGAGGCCCAAAGCCCATCTGTAGACAATTGGACATCCCCTCATAAGAAGGGTCACAGGGAAGAGACTAGCCAGTCAGGGTGCAGTATAACAACAATGATGCATGCATCTTTCCTCTAGTTCTTTAATGCCAACCCCCCAACCCCCATCATGACCCCAATTCTATCTTACAAATCTGCCTAGACCAGAACATATACACTGGTACAAATAAGATCTTGCAACACAGGGAATCCAGGACAGATAAAGCCCTCAGGACCAATAATGAGAGTAACAATACCAGGAGGGTAGGGGGAAGGTGGGAGAAGAAAAGGGTAACCGATCACAATTAATGACATGTAACACCCCCTCCCCCAGGGGGATGAAACAGCAGAAAAGTGGGTGAAGGGAAACAGCAGCTGGTGTAAGACATGAAAAAAAATCATAAATTATTAAGGTTTGGGAGGGAGGGTGGGGAAGGGAGGGAAAAATGAGGAGCTGATACGAATGGCTCAGGTAGAAAGCAAATGTTCTGAAAATAATGATGGCAACATATGTACAAATGTGCTTGACACAATGGTTGTATGTATGGATTGTAATAAGAGTTGTCAGAGCCCCCAATAAAATGATTAAAATAAGTATGGTGCTGGTAAAGAAGATCGAAAGCACTGCCAAAAGAACTAACAAATCTGTCTTGGGAGAAGTACAGCCAGACTGCTTCTCAGCAGTAGGGATGGCGAGACTTTGTCTTTTGGACATGCTATCAGGAGAGGCCAGTCCCTGACGAAAAACATGATGCTTGGTCAAGTAGAGGGTCAGTGTAAAAGAGCAAGACCTTCGACAAGATGGATGGACACAGTGGCTGCCACCGTGGGATCAAATATAAGAGTCATTGTGAGGAGGACACAGGACCAGGGAGTGTTTCTCTTGTAGAGTCGCTGTGAGTTGGCACTGACTCAATGACACCTACCAGCAGCAATGGATCTCTGTGTGTTGGCATGGAGCAGGTGTGGTCTGATTAGTTCCTGGTTCTGTGGCAGTCATGCCTTAAAGCATAGGAAAAGGCTAGATTTTGCATGACTTTATTTTTTTGACTCAGGAGGGAAAGGGCAGTTACTGATTTGGAAAGTGGGAGAATAGTACCACTGCCTTTCTCGCAAGTGTTTCCCTTAAACGCATCAGTTTATCACTCCTGTTTTTTTTTTTATGAACCAGGTAAAAGAAGCCACTAGATGATGCTCACAGCTTCCCTGCCCTGTGGGGAGGTCATCCAGCCACATAGACAATCTTCCAGGCTCCAAGGCCAACCCCCGCCAAGGGCCTGTTTAAATAAGTCAAGTGAATGTTTTCTGGGGAGAGGGATCTCTCTTTCTCTCTCAATGAAACTGATGCCAGGCTGCCTCCGAGTTACTCCTCTCTCGAACGCCAAGTCAATAAAACCAAGATCTTAAGTAATTTGTTTAAATGTAAAGTCTGCACTGATTAGATACTTTGTGGATTACTCCTTTTCCTAGTAAAGAAAAATCAATGTGATTCTCTTTTCCAGTTATACGGCTATGATGCATGTCCTCTTAAGAGTGAGAATTAAAAGAACTCCAGGGGGAAAATGCGTGATATTGTCCTTTTAGAGAGAAAAACTGGTTTGTCCCTGCTGATGGATGCCTAGAAGGACCTTCTCTCTCACCTGTCAATTACCATGTCTCCATTGTATTAATTGACTGTGTCCTGGTGCCACCATATTTACATCAGCCTCAAAAACCATTAGCCACAAGCCCACGGAACCCTGCCTGCTGCAGACAAAACCCTTGATATCTGTCTTCAATGTATTTATCACCTCATCACCATTGTCTGCAAACATCAGGGTTTCTTTTTTGGTCTCTATTTTAGGAACCACAAGAGGGCCCAGACTCCCATAAGAGAGCTCTTCACTCTAACACTTACTCCCATATAACTGCTAATCCCATGAGAATGGGATCCAATCTTTCTTCCACTCTGCATGTCATATTCCCTTCCACAGCTCTCTCTAACAGACATATCTGTAATCAACAAAACTCCCTATCCTCAGTCCCACTCTGCTGTATCTGAAGGAGGCTCCTGAGTCCCCTGAGGCTCTCCCCTGAGGACACTCCTTCCGCTGCTTTTGATCCTGCACCTGAGCCTGGCTCTGGTGGCTTTCCTCAATGCCTTCCATTGCTATGTGCAGACCCTGAAACCTTAAACCCCTTTTAATATCCTTTTTATTCCAATTCTACCCAATACCCTTCCATGGTTCAGTCACCTACTTCTGCAGCTCACTTCATTCCTTGACATTTTAGCTCTTGGCTCACGGTCAACCTCTTCAGTCATCTACATAGCACTGAGATGACCTTCCAGTAAGATGAATCCCCAGCCCCTTGACCACTTCTCCTCCACGATCTCGTCCTTCACGTTACCATATTCAACTACCTCCAAGATCAGCTAGACCTTGTTGTGACCTTTTCTATAACACGTGATCAAGCATGTTCTCTTCAACCTGTGGTTCTTCAATGAGAAGACTCAAATCTAACGTCAACCTTTCACTCAGCCTCACGACACTTGGGTCCTTGCTTTCCCCCCTGCCACAGTTTACACTCTGTTATCCACCATTCTTATCACTTCTTGCACACACTAGGAACTCTCCTGCCCTTCCTTCTTGCTTTCATCAAATGACAAATGCACACTTGGTCAAATCCACCTCTTCCTCCTCCTCCTCTTCATTTGAATGTGGCATGTCTCATTCTTCATTCAATGCCTCTAATCTCAATGTGCACTTACTGCTGCTCCCTCATCCTACCTCAGCTCTCTGGTCCAGTCACTCTTCATTTCCTTAGATGATTATTTCTCACTTTATTTCTCTCCCTGTGTTAGTCTGGGTAGACTAGAGAAACAAATTCATAGGCACTTGTGTGTATAAGAAGGAGCTTTAGGTGAGTGCATAAGCAAATGTGGTGAAGAAAATCGATGATGCCCGGCTATCAAAAGATATACCATCTGGGGTCTTATAGGCTTGAAGATAAACAAGTGGCCATCTAGCTGAGAAGCAATAAAGTCCACATATGGAAGAAGCACATCAGCCTGTGTGATCATGAGGTATCAAAGGGATCAGGTATCAGGCATCAAACAACAAAAAATTATATTGTGAATGAGGGGGAGTGCGGAGTGGGGACCCAAAGCCCATCTGTAGACAACTGGACACCCTTTTACAGAAGGGGCATGGGGAGGAGATGGGCCAGTCATGGGGCAGTGTAGCAATGATGAAACATACAACTTTCCTCTAGTACTTTAATGTTTCCTCCCCCAACTATCACAATTCCAATTCTACCTTACAAATCTGGCTAGATCAAAGGATGTACACTGGTACACATAGGAACTGGAAACATGGGGAATCCAGGACAGATGAACCCCTCAGGACCAGTGCTGAGAGTGGCGATACCGAGAGGGTGAGGGAAGGTGGGTTAGAAAGGGGTAACTGATTATAAAGATCTACATATAACCCCGCCTCCCTGGGAGATGGACAATAGAAAACTGGGTTAAGGCAGATGTCAGGCAGTGTAAGACATGAAAAAACAATAATAATTTATAAATTATAAAGGGTTCATGGGGTGTGTGGGGAGGGAGGGGAAAATGAGCTGATACCAAGGGCTCAAGTAGAAAGAAAATGTTTTGAGAATGAGGATGGCAACAAATGTGCAAATATGCTTGACACAATGGATGTATGTATGGATTGTGATAAGAGTTGTATGAGCCCCCAATAAAATGATTTTTAAAAAAGAGCTTTAGCTCAAAGAGCAATTTTACATTAAGAAAACATTCCAGATCAAGTCCATGAATTCAGTATTAGCCCTTAAAACCAATATTAGCCCATGAATTCCTTGTGAGACTCATGCAGCACATGCAATGATACCGAAGACAGGAAGATCATCAGTCAGTAGGTGGAAACTCTTGTGGATCCAGTGGTGGTGGAAGCATCACAGGCCTAGTGCCGGTCTCCACATGGCTCCTTCACTCCAGGGCTCTGGCTGTCATCAGCATGGCTCCACGTGGCTTGTCAACAGGAATGTCAAGCAGAGAGTGTCTATAGCTGGCCTCCAGTGAATTATTTATCTCCGTGGCACCTCCAGATAAGGTCATCAAACTGCAACCTGATTGACAGGCTAGACTTCACCCCTTTGCAAGTTGACACCAGATTATGTAACTACCACACTCCCCATCCCCTTCTCCAGCTCCCTATTAATGACCTTGTGTTTTATTAGAAATATTCTTATTTCACTAAAGCAACCATCAAATACTTTCCATGTGCCCCTGCAACTAAATCTACAAAATCATCTCTATAAAGACCCACTCCTTCCAAGCTCTCTCCTGATGATCGCCTCTGTTTTTCTTGATTAAGTGTGGTGCAAAGGAAAGTGCTGAGACGAAGAGGGGTAGTCAAGATTCGGTAGGGATTTTAAGAAGTAATAAAAGTTGAACTGGTCACAGAAAAGTTCCTCCCTACTGATCCTATTTATGATTTTAAAAACTGGATAACTAGGATGTTGACATCATGGGTCCCTTCTCAAATGCAACTCAACTGACATTTAAAATAGTTCTCTTTAACAAGAACCTTCACAAAAGAGAAGTCTGCAGGGCCAACCCCAATCCAATCTACATGGATACACACACACATCTCCCCCCTCCCGGAAGAATGCACCACAGAGGACAGCACTGAAGCTACAGCTCAGGGAAAGGGTGTTTCTGAGCAGAGCACACAGGAGCAAATGAAGAGGGAAGGAGAGAAAGTGGAACACATCCTGTCCCACCAAGCCCCAAGAATGATATTCTGCTTGGACAGGCCAATGCACAGAGAGGACTATAGGGCTGGCTCCATCACAAGACACAACATTCTCACTGACCCATAGCACTATGGGGGACAACACTGGAGACACATGGCAGGAATTGTGCCCGATCTCACCCCACCACACCAGGGTGAAACACTAAGGGTGTGCAACAGAAGAGCAAGGGGGAAAAAGCATTGAAGTCCCCGGGAATACCAAAGATAGGCTTGGGGGCAGGGTGTGGCACCCCATAGGACTCAACTGAAAAACACTCCCAAGGTCAACAATTTATAGGCCTTTGTTGTTTTGTTTTGCTCTGTCTTGTTTCTGTGCTTATTATTGTCTCTGCATGTCTATCTAGATAAGAAAGAGGAAATAAACCATCCAGAAGAGAAAACAATGGGACCGATGATCCGGGGAAACATGGAAGAGGGGGAGGTGGGGGGAAAGGAAGTGGGTGTTAACAAACCCAAGGATGAGGGAACAACAAATGATTTAAGGTGACCAGATTTTAACATTGGTAAAGCGGGACAAAAGCGGGACACCATTGATAAAACTCATATCTTGGCGAAATAGCCACGTGACAGACAAAAACCATATATACCCTAGCTTGTCGCGCATTCTTTCCAAAAATCGGGACTTTTAAAAATTGCAGCGGAGCGCGGGAAAAATTGTTAAAAATCAGGACTGTCCAACCAAAAGCGGGACGTCTGGTCACCCTAATCTAAATCAATGGCGAGGAGGGCATGCCTGGTGAGGCTTCATCAAGGGCAATGTAGCCGAGAGTAATTACTGACAGCTGAATGAAGGCCAAACATGATAGTGGGACGAGAGGAAAGTAAAAGGAAATAGAGAAAAGAACTAGGAGGCAAAGGACATTTATAGAGGCCTAAATACAGGCATGCACATATGTAAATATATTTATATTTGGTGATAGGGAAATAGATCTATGTACACACATTTATGTGTTAAGTATTAAGGTAGCAGATAGACATTGGGCCCCTACTCAAGTACTCCCTCAACACAAGAACACTTTGTTCTAATAATCGGCATTCTGTGATGCTCACCTTCTCGACACAATAGCTGAAGACAAAATGGTTGCATAGCAAATGTGATGAAGAAAGCTGATGGCACCCAGCTATCCAAAGATATAGTGTCTGGGGTCTTAAAGGCTTAAAGATGAACAAGCTGCCATCTAGTTCAGAACTAACAAAGCCCCCATGGAAGAAGCACATCAGCCTGTGTGATCATGAGGTGTCCATGCGACCAGGTATCAGAAATCAAAGACAGAGAACAAACAATCATATCAATGTGAATGAGGGTGGTGGTGGAATGTAGACCCAAAGCCCATCTGTAGACAATTGGTTATCCCTTTACAGAAGGGTCACAAGGAAGAGATGAATCAGTCAGGGGGTAGTATAGCACCAATGAAACATACAACTTTCCTCTCCTTTAGTGGTTCTCAACCTTCCTAATGCTGTGACCCTTTAATACAGTTCATGACGTTGTGGTGACTCCCAACCATAAGATTATTTTCGTTGCTACTTCATAACTGTAATTTTTCTACTGTTATGAATTGAGCAACCCCTGTGAAAGGGTCGTTTGACCCCCCCCAAAGGGGTTGCAACCCACAGGTTGAGAACTGCTGCTCTAGTTCTTTAATGCTACCCCCAGCCCAGCCACTATCATGACCCCAATTCT